CTTTGCTGGCCACCCCTCCCTCCTTTGCTGCAGCCCAGGACACAGTTGGCTTTCCAGTCCCCAGTGGCAGGGCGCTGGCTGGCCGCGCTGCGGGCGCACACTGACCTCCGGCTCGCCCGTGTTGCAGTTGGTCTGGATGAGGATGGTCCCGATACGGACGTCCTTGCACACCGCTCGCAGCGCTGGCTCCATGGTCTCGCCCGCTCGCAGGATGGACACCCCGGTGATCTGCAGCACACAGCCAGGGCGAAGGGGAAGGGATGGTGTGGGAGTTACACACCAACCCGGCATGGCGTTGGCTCTCAGTGGTGGGGGATTCTAAGGGACAACCCCAAAGCACATCCCTTCCAGGAGAGGGTTGTACTGAATCATCACAGAATCCCAGACTGGTTTGGGTTGGAAGGGACCTTAAAGCTCATCCAGTCCCAACCCCCCTGCCAGCAGCAGGGACACCTTCCACTAGACCAGGTTGCTCAAAGCCTCATCCAGCCTGGTCAAGAACACTTCCAGGGAGCTGGCCAACCTGGGACACTGTCTCACCACCCTCACAGTGAAGAACTTCTTCCTAATATCTCATCTAAACCTCCCCTCTTTCAGTTTAAACCCATTTCCCCTTGTTTTGTCATTAACTGCCCTTATGAAAAGTCCCTCCCCAGCTTTCTTGTAGCCCCTTCAGGTATTGGGAGGCCACTATAAGATCTCCCCGGAGCCTTCTCTTCTCCAGGCTGAACAATACTGGTCTCAGTTCAGACTGTTTCCCTTAGTGGGTGGGCAGCAGTGGCACAGTGACATTGCTGATGGCACCTCTGGCCACCACCCATCCCGATGACACAGGGTATCATACTCCAGCAGGCACCCAACCCGGAATGGATGGGAGCCCTGAGAAGCCAGGAGGGTCCCTCCCCTGCACCCACAGGGTTCTCAACACAGCCCCACGGGGCAGAGTTGAATGGTACCTTGTGCTTCCACTTACTTGCTTCCCACTGTAGGTCCTTCCTTCGTAGTCCTGTCCCTGAGGAGTCTGGACTGTGCAACTCTACAAAAACCAAACAAGAAGCTCTACCAGGGGCTCTGAGGTGGCTCTCGGAGGAGCCCTGGTACCAAGGAGCCAGCCAGCTTGGAAATCTGCCCCTTTTTGATCTGGGAGGAAAGGGCTGATGGACAGGGAAGGCTGGAGGAACAGCACCAGGACTGTCCTGACTCCTTGGCAGTCATGGGTTAGGAACTGGGAGAGGAAACACAGCTCCTGCTGCCCACCCTCCCAGCTACACCTCGGGACCCACCTGGAACGGGAGCAGGGAGAGCGCGTGCTCAATCAGCAACCGCATCAGCCTCTTGGAGTAGAAAATGAACTCGTCCCGGCTTGTCTCCTTGTTTCTAGAGGGGAGGGAAAGGTAATGTGAGCTGTGGACCAAGCTATGGACCCCAGGAGATGCTGACAGAGGTCAGGGGCTGCCCCTGTCTGGTTGTCAGCACGGGGTCCACCAGCTGAGCCTGGAATTGTGGTGGCAGTTTTAAGGTAAAAAGCAGAAAAATTGTTGGTAAGACCATGGAGCAGTCACAGCACAGCTCCTCTACGCAGGGCCCACCAACTTGTCCTGTGTTCCCGAGTTGTGAGGACAGGGCACAGGGGGGATTTGGGAGTCCAAAGCAAGCTGATCCCACCCCAGCCGGCAGCCGAGCCCCATCCCAGCCCAGGAGGCCGCGGCGGCGGGGGTTTTACCTGATGATGGTGTGCATGCCCCTCACCTGAGGGGTGCTCTTCAGCACGCTGAGGGTCTGAGGAAGAGGGTGGCACTGGTGGGCAGAGGCCAGGGCGGCCCTGAAAACCAAACACACCATCAGAAGGTCTCCAGACAAGGTGGCCCGAAGGCTGGTGCACAGCACACGGCCAGAGCCATCCTCCCAGATGTCACCTCACACTGCAAACGCACTCCAAGGCCATCCCAGCCGAGCTGAACGAGCGGCCAAAAGATGGCAAAGGGACCTGCTCCCATGAACAGGGCAGGGAGTGGGAGGTCAGTGGAGTCAGCAGCCCAAGGACCTGCCCTTCCTGCTGGGCAGCTGACCCATGGTTGGCCCATCTCGACTTCCACTGGTTGGGAAGAAAGTAGAAAATAAAATAAAAATCTTCTCCTGCTCAAAAGTCTGATCTAGTGGTGGATGCTGAAGGCACGGGGTGAGGAGGAGCTGCTGTGGTTGTCTCTGTCCTACAAGTACCAGATGTCACCAGGAGCAGGACAGGCAGCCAGGCCCATGGCGCTGGCACACGGCTCAACGCAGAGCCAGGCTGCAGGGAGAGCATTTCAGAGAGTGCTCGGCCCATTCAGGGATCGTCAGATCGACACCAAATTGGGAACAACTTCAAGACTTTACAGTTGGACAGGACTGGCTTTGTGTGACTCATCTCCACACAACTAATAGGGCCGGGAGCTATTCTTGGATCAAGGGAACACCATTCATGGGGAAGCGCACAATGGAGCCCCATTAGTCACCTCTCTCTCTTTGAGAGCAGCAGTAATGAGATGAAGGTCACATCTATTTGGTTTCCACAAAGCTGGGCAGGATGGACAAGCGACTTTGTCTGGGAGGAGGGCTGGGGTCCGAAAGCCACACGTCAGATCACACACATGCCAGCGGCTGCACCCCGCTCAGAGAGATGTTGGGGAGGAGGAGAAGAGAGCAAACAAACGAAAGCACCGGGTGGTTACGATTTCAAATCAAGCAGAAACCTGGATTAACTGCACACGCAGAGACACACAAGCGGAGAAGAAGACAGAGAAGATGACTGGGTAGGAATGGAGGAGGGCAGGGCTAGATGACTTGAGGCCTCCATCCACATAGTCATCTCCTGGTCTTGGCTGACCAACACCAAATGAGACATTCCCAAAGCCTGCAGGTACTTAAGGGCTCCTTCTTGGCTTTTGCCAGCTCTGGTTCTGTGTAGCAGCAAAGAGCCCCAACGCAGGGAACGCTCCCGAGAGCCGGGACAGCCCGTGGTTGTGTGGAGCACGTGGGGTGGGCTGTGCTCCCATCGCAGAGCCCGGCTGGGTTGGGGTCAAGCCCCATGTGCTCCTACAGATCCCACCACCCGTTTGGGATGAGCAGCCCTCAAGGCCCCAGACCTGCTGCCAGTGAAGCGAGCTCACTCTGTTAGTCCCCACAGCTCGGGTCAGGTGCCCTCAGAGGTGCTCCCACGCCAGGACTGGGAACCAGCAGCACCCAGCAGCTCTGACCCCACAGCCCCCACTCCTGCCTCTCACCAGACCTGGCTTGGGGACAAATCCTGGGGCACAGTCACCATCCAGCTCTGCCTAAACCCCTCCTGGCCCCAGGGATGCAGACCCAGGCGGCGGGTGAGGACCTGAGCCCTGCCTTTGGTGGATGCTGGTGCCTGCTTCTAGGGGGGACAGAGCTCAGCCCCCCAGCACAGAGCCACACACCACTCATAGCCCCAGCTGGCTTTACCGAGGTGACAAACAGCTGTTCCTCAAACCAGAGGAGCTATCAGGGGTCTCCCACCCACCACAGCCCACAGAGCAGCTTGCCATGGGCACCTCTCCCCTCCGTCCCTGCCAGGTCCATGTCATGGAATCTCACCACACCAGCGGGATGGGCAGCCCCTGGTCCCACTGGTGCTGCAGGTGAGATGTGGTGTGACCCAGCTCCTGCTCCCTGACACAGAAGCCAGCGAGCGCTCCCGCCCTCGGGAGCAGTCCCATGTCCCTGGGAACACCTCCCCTGCACCCCGAGCTGTCAGCAGGCCCCCGGGAAAACACTGTCAGCAGTTTGTCACCCAGCTTTCCGCACCTCCCTGTGACACCCACGCAGGGGTTGGCGCTCAGCGTGGGGACAGGGAGGTCTGGATATAACCCTGCTCAAGCCCCTGTCCCCAACAGCCCAGGGAAGCCACTCTGTGCTGTCGGGGTCCCCATGGTGCTTTCTGTGGGGACAGCACCAGGTCCCCTTTTTGGGGTTGAAATAAAGATGGTCTCTTGAGTCACCCCACCCCAGCTGTCCCTGCAAGGCCCCAGCAAAGCAGGACCCTGGGAGCTGTCTGCCCGGGTTAGTAACGCGGCTCACACTGCACAGCCCTCGTCCCCGCTCCCCGGCGTTAGTGTCACCACCAAAACACTGCTGTTAGCGTTTGTCTCCTCACATATCCCAGCGCAGCTTCCTCTGGTCACCAGGTGGGAGGGATGTTCAGGGGAGACAAGACAGGAAACACCAGAGTTTAAAAGGGAGAGGGACAAAGATGACATGAAACAAAGGAAAAAGCACTGTCATTAGTCAAAGGGGGGGAAAAAAATGCCCTGATGGACCTTATGGCTCTTGGACCTGCCCAGGCCATTGCTGTACAGACCCCAGCTCTCCTCCCTTGATGACCAAGTCATGTCACAGCTGCTCTCCATGGCACTAGCTCCACTCCTGGATCCATGAGAGGGAAGCTCCATCTGCTCTCACCGCCCTGGAGTCACAGCAGGGACATTGTCCCATCTCTGTCCCAGGTGGTACCACACTGCAACACCAGCTGCAGCTCTTGGAGCCTGGAGGGCAATGTACAGCCCTCGCCCGAGGCTCTGCTGCCATCCCAACGTAAGTACAGGTGCTCAAGACCAAGCCTGCAAAACCTTCATCCAACCTGCCCCACAGCCATGTAACCTGCTCGTGGGCTCACAGGGGTCCCACCTCCTGGAATGCTGGAGAGACCATCTAATAAAGCCTCAGAGAGCCTGGAAAACCAAGAGCACTGGGAACACGGGGAGAAACCTGGCTCTGAACTGAACATCACCGCTCACCGGGAAGATCTTCCTTCCCCTGAGCTGATCTTTACATCCCCTGGGATCATCATCCCTTGGAGAGGGGCTGCAGGTTGAGGCAGAGAGAAGAGGTCAGCCCCTCTGGCAGCCACATCACCTGCACTGAGACCCCTTGCCCAGGCTGCTGGGGGGGACAGGGGGAGCAGGTCTTCCTGTCCCTCCCCTGGCCAGCAGGACCACGACGGAGAATTCAGCTGGGCAACCATCAGCACGTCAAGAAAACGTCTCTTTGGAAACTTATTTTTTCCCCCCCACAAACAAAAGCTATAAAAGAAAAAAAAAAAGAAGAAGAAAGAAAGAAAAGAGAGAAAGAGGTGACCATCTCTCAGGAAGGCTTCAGGGAACATCCTCAGCTCTTTGTTGAGCATGCTATCAAGCAGGAAGCAGACAAGAGACATCCAGCTACAAAGGAGCTGATGCAGTCAAGGCATTTCAAGCACGTACAGCGACTGGCTTTCACGGCTGACATTTCAAACAAGGGCTATTAAACTGCGCCACGGGTTGATATTTAAAGACACAATTGGCAAAGGGCATGTTGAGCTGCTCCAGACCTTGGGGGTGGGGAATATTGATTGGCAAAGGGAATTCAGCTGAAGTGAGCCCTGGTTGCCAGAGCTGGGCTGGTGGCTGGAGCACCATGGCAGAAGGGATGGAAAACAGGCACCTTGGCAGGCTGGGCAGCTCCTGCTGCTGGGCTCAAGGAGGAATACTCACCTGGGAGTGCCTGGATGGAATTACAGCTCCAGCACATGAACGGTTAAACATGTGAGAAGCGGGACAAGAAATATCCCACCTGCGAGGACACCAAGGTCTGACCTGCGCTCTGAGGGGACACAGAGGAAGGAACAGAGGAAGGCAGCGATGCTCCTCAGCAGCCAGCAGCTCCAGGAGGAACACAAGGCTGGCAGGTCCAGGGAATGGCACCACTTGCCTTAAATTCCTCAAAGTTCACCCATTTGATCAGCTGAGAGCCGGGGAGAGGATCCCCTGCCTGTCCCGGTCACCCTGCGGGTCAGGAGAGGCAACCCTGGGCCAAGGACCAGAGAAGCACCTCGAGCTGGGGCCAGATCTAAACATCCAGGTTTTATTCTATCACCTACAAAGACCTCGCTGCGTCCCCACGGCTGCCAAAAGGCTGTGACAGCAAAACAACAACCGTGACATTTAGATGAAGCCATTCAAGACAGGAGGATGGGGAATTGGCTGAGACAAAAAGCAGCCCTGTTTGCTGGACACGCGTCTGCCCGTCCACCTCGCTCCTCTCGTGAGCCACACAGGAGCTGATGGGAAACCACAGCAGCAGTAAAAGCTCTGGGACTCCAGGAGTGTAAACACATGCTTTTTTTTTATTATTTTTTTTATTTTTATTTTTTTTTTTTTCAGGAAATTTTTTCCAATATTTCTGGCAAAAGCATAAATGGAAACCACCAGCCTTAAACAGAACATAAAAATGTCTGTGGCTGTGGTTATCACCCAGTTATTTCTGGGGCTCAGAGTTACCTTTCCTAACCTGCTATCATAAAACTACTAATACTTTCTTGCCATATTATTAAATATCTGATTTTTAAGGTGCACCTGTACTGAGTGCCACCCTGATTCAAGAGGGGAATCACTGGAGAGAAAGGAAATTTTCTGGGTGTGTATGTATATATACACCTGGGAATATTTACATATATGCATACACATGGGAATATATACATATATATGTACACACATACACCTGGGAATATTTACATATATGCATACACACATATTAATCTGCTCTCTCATGATATTCCTGCCATTTTCAAAGCAACAGACTTCACATTGAAGAGCCCCTTCCCACCTGGAGCTCCAGACACAGAGGGAAGCTGACGCTGTCTGTATGGAAATGTCAGGCCCCAGGGTGCTAAACAAGCAAAGAGGAAGAAAATAAAACACCCAGTTGCCTTGTCTAGGAAACAAATGGCTTCAGCAGAAAGAATTTTAGGAGTATTTAGGTATTTTAGGAGCTTCTTGGGTGCCAAATGTGAATTTTAGGGTTACTCGAGTTAAGTGTCTCCATGTGATGATGGAGATGTAAATGGAAACCCATCTGCAGTGATGCATCCCCTCTGCTTCCTACAAAAATACCTGGAAACTCACTGAGTTAACGGAAACCAGAGAGCTAAATCCCATCTGGATCCACGTGCTGAGGAGCTTCAGTAAATCAACGTGTATTTTCTAGCATCCACCTGCAGATACTGAGAAACTAGAAATCCTGCTGGATTAGCCCATAAATATTTTCTTGGGGAGCAATCCAGGGCTCCCACCACCCTCCAGCCGCTTTGCTTCATCTCATAATTGATGTTTAGGGATATTTAATGATGTTTAATCATCAGGGATGGAGAGTGGCTTTGAACAACCCTTCGTCTTAGAGGATGAAGGGAAAGAAGAGAATCCCAGGATGCAAAGTGGGGGTCCCCAGCGAACAAACCCGGCCCTGTCCCAGCCTCAGGGGTCTGTGCTGGCAGCTCCCTCGCTGGATGGGGATGTCCCCAGGGAGCAGCCCTGTCCCTGCTGCTCCCAAAGCCAAGGACAAGGTGACCTTTGGTCAGCTTGGAGCGTGACGAGGCCGTGCCTGAGGTGGGGTGTGGGTCTCGACTGCGGGTCAGGGTTAGGCCAAGCAGTGCCTGGCATTGGAAATGCCTCGGGCTGCACAGACAGGACAGAGTTAGGGGCTCTTACCTGACACTGAGTTCACGCTGCGGCAGCAACACAAAGACACAATGCAACCGGTATTAAGCATTGTCAACACCAGGGGCGTTTCAAGACAAAAGAAAAGGAAAAATAGGAATATTTTCCTGCATTCACATGTAGCCTTTTCCCCTTCTTCCCCTCCCCAGCTCAACAAAAGCCCCCCCCACGAGCCAACCCCTCGCCTGGCTCACAGCAGCACCCTGGGGAGGAGCTGCCATGTTTGCCCGCTGCAGCATTCCTGGCTGGATCCCAGGGGCTGGAAAAAAACAGCCTAAAAACCAGGACACCCCTCTCCTGTGTCCCACAACTGCGTGCCCTCCTCAGCCTGGCACTAGCGACGATGACAGGGCTCCAATCCTGTCACCTGGGGTTTAGAAACCACCTTCCCGACCTGCCAGAGCTCAGCGCTGGAAATCGGGCAGTGGGAAAGCCCTGTGGAGAGCGGGATGCTGCCGGAGCGCTCCCTCCCCAGCACGGTGCCATGGTGTGCCAGCTCACATCCCAGGGCAGAGCAGCTCCTGCACCCTGGGAGCCCAGACAGGCCACAGGGAATTGAGCCCTTTAGTTCCAAGTGCATCCATCTCCAGGTCACGCTCCTTCCACCTCCCAGGACATCGCTCTGAGCATCCCCACAACTTAAAACATCAAGGTGGGAGGAGGCTGTGCTGCTCAGGGAACAGCAACACACAACGGGGTCGGTGGATCCAAGGGTCTCAGGTTCAAACCACTGGTCAGGACTGACCCAGGACACACAGAAGATGACTTGTTAAAGCCAGTGATGGGCAAGTGATGGAGCATGTGTCCAGATCAGGGCTCAGATGGGCATAAAAGGTGACAAGACTTTGAGTTTTGAAGTGGAAAAGTGGGTTCTTGACTGGAAAGACTGCACAGCAGAGTCTGAAGGGGGTGAAGAGGAGGGGCCAGAGCCAGAGAGCTGAAGTTTTGGAGGGTTGGGGCGATGCTGGCCCCAGGAGGGCTGCAGCAGGGAGGACACATCACTCAGATCACTGGAGGATGGCTGCTCTGTCCCCAGATGAGTTGATCTCCCAGGGAGGGAAGGAAGCTGCTGCAGGACCACAGCTTGCAGAGGAGCCTTGCCCTGACCAGAGCTCAGGGATGACAGAGGGAGCAGGGCTGGGAGGAGCTCCTGGGGACAGCCCCACGGTCACAGCCTGGAGCACGGCAGGAAGCCAGGCTGTTCCCACCTTGGCACCCAGAGCACTGCATCCCACGCGGCCACCGCGGCACGGGCGAGGCCGACCCCACCGCTAGCACCCGGGGGACCAGGCAGCTCTTACCTCTTCCAGCTGGCTGTGGACGTGCTGAACGATCAGGTCGATGGCCACCGTGTTTCCACTCCCTGGAGTGAACCAGAAGCAAAAGAGAGACAGTCTGCTCAGGACCACAGTGCTAGCAGTGCCTGGAGCACGTTCCTTCCCCCAGCTCCTCACAACATGTGCACTATGGCTTTTGAACCATGGTGCGTACAAAAACACACCCCACTCCTGCTTCCCCTTCCCTAGGAAGGCACCATCCAGCAGGAGATGTCCCTGCTGTGATTAAATTCTTATTCAGTAATGGCAGGAAGATGTGGCAGGGGAGGGTGAGGTTGGCCATGAGGAAAAGGTTCTTGAGGCAGAGGGTGGTGGAGCACTGGAACAGGCTCCCCAGGGAGGTGCTGATGGCACCAAGCCTGACAAGATTCCAGCAGCATTTGGCCAAGGCCCTCAGGGACATGGTGTGAATGTTGGGATTGTCCTGTGCAGGGACAGGAGTTGGACTCCATCATCCTTTTGGGTCCAACTCACAACCTTCTATGATTCTTGACTATCTAGAAGTCACCTCTAGTTTTTAAACCATTAAGCTGCAGGAGCTGGTAGGGCAGGGGACTGGTTGAGGCAAAAGTGCAGGCTTTTCCCTGAGGAACCAGCTTTTGGCCAGTGTTTGAAGACAATTGGCTGGATGGACCTTTGCTTTGGAGTGGGACAGTCACTATTCTGTCCCCACCAGCCAGAGGGTGGTGGGACTGGCCAGCAGAGCTGAGGGCAGAGGGATGAGGTCTCTCAGGTGCCACTCAGGACTGAGGCTCGGGGCAGCTTGGGGCAGGTACCTCGGGGCACGACGATGTCGGCCAGCCGCATGGTGGGCTGGATGTACTGGTCGAAGGCCGGCTTGACAAACTTATTGTACTGCTTGATGACACCCTCGATGTCACGGCCACGTTCACTGATGTCCCTGCGCAGGCGACGCACCAAACGGATGTCCGAGTCTGTGTCCACAAATATCTTCAGATCAAGGAGCTGGAATGAGATGGGAGGGAACAAACCCCACCAGGTTGGGTGTGTAACTTGACTTGACCGTCTCCACCAGCCACAACTAGGAGGCTGAGCCCCACGCACGGTACAACACTGGTTTAACAGAGCTCAGCTCAGCTCTGTTTCTCATGCCCCAAGACCTCCAAACCCCATCTGGACTTCTAAGCAGCCCCAGCACTTTGTCTGGATGTTATTTAAGAGTGAGGAGGAGATGAGAGAAGTTAATGCCCATGACACAGACCAACAGGCTTAACCCAGGACCGCTGGCTCCTTAATGCTGGAGGGGAGCCAAGCACAGCAGGTCAGCTCATGACATTGTGAGACAGAGACAAGAGCCGGGATGCTCAGAGGAAGCTCCTGGGGGATTTATCCAGCTCTCCACTGGAGGTCATCGTTGCTCCAGCAAAGTGCAACCTAAACACTCACTTGGCAGAGAAGAACACTTTCTAGACTGAGTCTGGCTAAGTTTGCACATGGCTTGCTCCCTCCTAAAGCATTTTTTTATGTATCCCAAAAATTCCCAGCAAAGCCTGAAGCTCTGGATGATCCATCCTCGGAACAGCAGGCTTTGTGCAGCAGAAGACAGCAGATCTTGCTCTGGCTGTGCAAGCTGTGGCACGCAGTGTGGAGGTGGGCTATTTCTAGTCATACTTATGCACCACCACTGCCAGGGACCAGGTCACCTTTTGGCTCCTAGTTCCTGGGAATGAATGGCTGAGATCAAGGTCTCTGCCAAAACCCTTGACCTCTGCTCTCCCCCTGCCACTGCAAGAGTCGAGGCTTATTCCATTTCTCCTGCACAATGAAGTGCTGCAGCAGCTGGTGTAACCTGGAAGAGAAGG